TGAGCTTGGTGGAGGTTCTAGCTGCTATCCGTATACCCCTTGACAGAAGCACGGTCCTCCTCTATCAGGGAAGGTTGTCCTCTTTGACCAATTGCACAACTTTGGGAGGTGAGTGGGGGAAGGGACACCCATTTAGCCAGCCAGATCAGTTAAATCAACTCTGGCAATCAATGAGATGATAGAAATCGCAGTCAGACTGTCCTCACTTCTAGGGCCCTTCATGAAATACAAACATCACTCAAGAAAGAACTCAGAAAGACCTCACAAGGTTAAGGATGACTTCAGAATTGTTGGTATAATAAGCTGAAGGGATGAATGAAATTATCTGAGATGAAGAAGACTGTAGTTGGAGTAAGATTCAGAGGAAAGACCTAAGGTTAAGTTTTAAACATGTTAGATTTGAGGTGCTAAGTAGGTAGCTATATATACAGTATGAAGTTTGGAAGAATGATTTGGTTTAAATATAGAAATTTATAAGTCATATTCTTATGATACTTCTGCAACCATAAAACTGAAAGAGATTACCAAGGGAGTGATCATTATTTAGTTCTTTAACTTCTTCCTTTCCCTCTCCCCTTCTAATATAGTAAACTTCTACTTCATTTTCTACATCTTATTTTTGTCATTCATAACCAGCTACTGTCTTTCATAATCTTCACCCAATCTGTCAGCAAATACTATTGAATTTACTTTCAAAATGTACAGAGAACATATGCACTTCTCACCACTTTTGCTGTCATCTGAATGTCAATCAATCATCATCATTCACTTGGATTGCTGCAATTAGTATAACCGATCTCCCTCCTTCTCCCACTGCCTCCTATCTTCTATTGCTAACACAGCAAACAATAGGGTCCTTTTAACATGTACATCAGGCTCTTTAGCTCAAAACCCAGCTATGATTTCTGAGTTCACTCAGAATGAAAATCAACTCCCCGTAATAGCCTCCCAGTAAGTTGATGGTGTCAAATATGGCAGCAAGGTTAAGTTGTTTAAGGATGAAAGAGTTTACTGGTTTTGACAATTGAGAGGTCACTGAGAGAGTAATTTCAAAACATGGACAAGGATGAAAACCAATCTGTAAAGGACTGGGAGAAAGCAGGCAGTAAGAATTAGAGGCAAGTAGTTCTTTTGAGAAATTTGGCAATGAAAAGGAGGTGAGGTGGACTAGAAGTTCTAGGGAAAAGTAAGACAAAAAGTGGTTGCTATGCTTAGCTCTCAGGGAGTAAAGAATGGGGAGGTTGCAGCAGTAAGTCTGTAGCCCTCATTTTAGTCCATCTTAAATGAGGGCTACAGGCATAAGTGGAGACATTAAAATACTAGACATTCACATAATTTTATAAAGCTAAAAGACCTTATTCATTTACCTGCCATTTTCTGCCTCATTTTTAGAAGTGGAGTGATTATGACACACAATTACAACAATAGCCGGGGCCAATAGTTCTCAGCAGCAGCCTGGGAGGTAGAAACAGAATGAAGAAATGAAGGTAGCTTAGGTAAGGATGGGACACAATGAATAAAGATAAGGAGACAATCAGACAAGTGGACTGTAAGGTAGTTTTGAATTTTTTCAGTGAGATAGGAAGTAAAGTTATCAGGTACAAGAATGTTCATAACATTTTTCTCATAAAAGCCAAACTGAAAATAGATAAGTTCCATGTGATATTGGGAATATATATATATATATATATATATATATATATATATATATATATATATATATATATCATCTTTATCCTATTTCTCAGAGAATGCTCCTGAAACCCTTGTAATGTCGGGATAAAAGTGTCTTTTGCATGCTAATGAAATGACTGGTGGCCAGGGGTCCCTAGATAGCTTCAAGATGGGGGTTGTTCACCAAAAAAGCCAACTATGTGATTAGAGGATTAGAACTTCAAGCCCCATGCCGATCACCAATAGACAATGATGTAATTGATCATGCCTCCTCAAAAAACCAGAAGTACTGGATTCAGATCACTTTCCAGGCAGCTGAGCATGTGCAGGTACTGGGAAGGCAGTGCCCCCAGAACAGCACAAGTTTCCATGCCCCTTATCCCCTACCTTGTCCTATGCATCCATTCCATTTGGCTGTTCATTTGTATCCTGGAAATATCCTCCATAATAAATGGATAAACATAAGTATTTTCCCTGAGTTCTATGAAATGGCAAATTAACTAAACCCAAGGAGGGTGTCATGGGAACCCCAATTAATATTTTATTTCTTTTGTTTGTTTATTTATTTATTTTTGTGGGGGAGGTACTGGGGATGGAACTCAGGGCCTTATGCACATTAGGGAGTCCTAATTTGGAACAGGATGGTCAAAAGCCCAAGTCACAATCTGTGCTTGTGATTTGCACTTGAAGTGGGGGCAGTTTTGTGGGACAGAACCCTAAACTTGTAGAATCTGACACTACCACTAGGTAGATGGTGTTATAATTGAATTAGAGGGTGTCCAGCTAGTATCTGCTAAAGAATCAGCTACAGAATTGGGTTTTGATGACACACATTTTGGTGACCAGGGATCTCAGAAATATTCTATATCATACTGAGAGTAAAGAATAAAAGAAACAGTTGGTTTCCCTGTATCTCTTAAAATTTATAAATAGAAGAATAGATAAGCTACAGTATGCCCTTACAATGAAATACTATTCAGCAATGAAAAGGAACAAGCTGCCGGTATGTGTTACAAGGTAGATAAAATTCTAAACATAAACATCATGCTCTAAGAAGCTTTACACAAATGAGTCAGATATAAATTTAGAGATACGGAGAGAAAATTGAGTGTCTAAAGGAGAAATGTTCCTGTTAGAGTATGAATGGGTAGCTTGTGAACAACTTATAAGCTAGACAAAAAAGCCTAAAGGATAGAAAGGGACCAAAATGTAAGAGAACCTAAACATCCCATAAATTACTTCATAACTTTTCAGCTCTAAGTTTTCTAGAATGTAGCAAAGCAGAAACAAAAACCAAATAGAAAAAGACCATTAACCACATGAAGTTTCAGGCTAACATTGATCAGAATACAACCCTCAAGTGTGTGATCAACCTATCTACCATGTGATCATCCAACAGAGCACACAACCACCAGATGTTGATATCAGCAGAAACCAACAAACCAGACCAGACTGCAGTCTCGGGGAAGGCCAGGCCCTTTGCATCATATTCAACTGTTATGTACCCTAAAAAAACCCAACCTTATTCCCTGGTGGTGGGTATGTCTCAAGATTCCCTGCATTCTGTTCTGAGAATGCCTATCTTCACCTTTCATTTTCTAATAAAGTTGTTTCTTTCTTCGCTAAAACCTGACTCTTTTCTAAACATGGTCAAGAGATTAGAAGGTCCAAGTACAGGTCTCCTCTGTCTCTGGAGAGACCTCTTCATACCCACTTCTGGTGACATGAAGATAACTGTGGTATTGCTTACATGAAGTTCTAAAAGTAAAAAACTAATTAGAACAAGTAGTTACTTCTGGGAGGCTGGAGCAGGATTGGCAGGGAAGAGAAAACGTTTGGGGATGCCAGTAATATTCTCTTTCTTTATAGGGGTTTGGGTTACACAGATGTAGGTATATATCAAAATTCAGCTAAAGTGGAGTTAAAATTTAATTGTCTATGAATTTTGCCTCAAAAAAATACTGTAAAGAATCATCAAAATATAGTTAATTGGGCTGGGGATGTGGCTCAAGCGGTAGCGCGCTCGCCTGGCATGTGTGCGGCCCGGGTTCGATCCTCAGCACCACATACAAAGATGTTGTGTCCGCCAAAAACTAAAAAATAAATATTAAAATTCTCTTTTGCTTGCTCTCTCTCTGTCTCTCTTAAAAAAAATATATAGTTAATTGTATTCATGATGAAGAATTTAGAGGAAAGTGTATTGATGTCTGGAATTTTTTATTTGTTCTTATTAGTTATACATGACAATAGAATGTATTTTGACATATTATACATATATGGAGTATAACTTCCCATTCTTCTGGTTGTACATGATGTAGAATTACACTGGTTGTGTAATCATATATGCACACAAGAAAATAACGTCAATGCATCCAAAAAATAAGAAACCAATTGAAGAACAGATGGACATATATGGGGAAAAACTGGTAGAATAAAATGTAAACGATAAAATCTACATGTGGGTATAGAGGAATTCACTTTAGATTTTTTTTTCAACATTTTGTTTGTTTACATTTTTTCATAATAAAATGTTGGGGGAGAGGGAGAAAGCACTATTTTGAGGTTAACAGAATATTATTTTTTACTTTTCCCCCTATTTTCTAAATTCACTATAATGTGCTCTATCTTATAAATTAAACAGTTTTAAAAGAAAACAAACCAATGGAATTTACTTAAATAATTTCAAGACAAGTTTCATATCCATTTTAAAGTCAATAAATTATTCATTATTTTTTAACTCACTATAATATAATTCAGCAAATCACTGGTTTTGAACTGATTAAAAAATTTTAAAGCTAATTAAATGTGCTATTAAAAAGTTATTTTTTTCTTTTAATGCCTTATATTAAACTTCTCTTATATTCAAAAACCTCCTTGTATCACTCTGTGTTAAACTGTAAAGACACATTGTTTCTTAGATTCTGTAATAACTTACCAGGACAGTATTTCTTAGGAACTCTGAATTGGCTGTTTACTTTCAAAAGTGCTTTAACTTTAGAGAAGCATAAGATTATGCCAGGTGCTAGTCAATTGTGTCCTGTTAATTTCCAAAACAAACAGAAGAGAGTGCCATGCAAATTCCATTACACACACTTAACCATTAGAACCAGGGTTTATTAGCTTGACACTGATCCAGGAATAATGGTTTCATTCCTCAATGAAATAAAATAATGTGCCACATAACTGAGCAATGCGGAACTTCTAAAAAATGTTGTCATGTTAAACATAGTCATACTTTTCAATTTCCATTATGCCCAAACAAAGGTCATTTGCTGTAGAGAATTCACTACGGGCATGGAGAATTCTTACATGGGCTTCAAACTTACCTCATTGCTATATCATATGATTCTGGATGAATACAAGTCTGATCCAGAGGATTTGGCTTCAGTACAATATCCATTGTAGTTTTGCTCTTCTTTTTGCCTTGCTTCTCACTTGTGACCTCTCCTGCTGAAGATTTTACAGCAACCCCTTGAATTTGGCTTGAAGATTCAGTTTGCTGACTATGGCAGTCATTTAAAACCCAGAATAAAACAAATTTTAAAAAGAGGAAAGGTTGGGCAGAAAAGAAAAGACACTTTAATTAAAGGCATGTTTATTTATCTGCCATAGAAATATACACTAACAGCAACCATTCACTTCACAGAAACTATCACTTATGTGTTTAAACCATTGTTAAAAGATCTTTCTGTTAGTTAAAGCCAAAAACATTCTTAACTGATTCAGTCTGTGCAATTGGCATTCTACGAGAGAACAGAAAAATGCAAATAATATGATGATGATTTCTCAGTTGAAGAAAATCCCAAGTTTTCAAAAGAACCTAGTGAGTACAGAATAAGATGAATGGAAAAAAGACTCACACCTGACGTAAATAATTTTTTAAAAACCTAAAAATCTTTCAAGAGAGTAAAATGACAAATTGCAGGCACCTTTCACTTTTTATTTCTTTAAAAAAACTATTGGACTTTTTGAATAGAGTGTTCAAAAAACATAAAACAAATAGAGAATTATTTTATCATCAATTTTATTTCTGCCTTCAGGATTTTGTGATCTACTTGGAACTTCCACCACTCCATTGTTCTGCAAGACTTATCCATGTTCTGGTACTTAAAACAGTTTCTCTTTTTACATTTAATCCATTTGGAATTTGAGTATAACAAGTAAAGTGGGATTACAGCATCCTTCACACATATCAAACTTTTGATAGTTGTCATAATGCCATTTATGGATAATTTATCAACTCTTCCCCAGTTTTTGAATTGTTACTTTTATTATAAACTAAGTTCCAACTACATTTCAGACTCTATTCTGTTTTATTTATTCTATATCAAAACCACGTTTAAATCATTAGTATGTTTATTATTAAGCTTTACAATATATCCTACTATCTTGTGGGGCTGCTTTCCCTTTAGTCTTTTCTAGAATAAAGATTATTTTTTCATATAACCTTTATTATAATTCTGTCAAGAGAAAAAATACATGTCAATAAGTTAAGTAATCCCACAGGAGCAGATACATAAAAGCTATTTTTTTCATAATTATAAAATGCTAAGAAGTTTATCTAATTTCTTTGTTTTTGTGCTACCAGGATTAGAAAGTAAGAATTTAGGAGGAGGGGCTGGGGTTGTGGCTCAGTGGTAGAGCACGTGCCCAGTACATGTGAGGACCTGGGTGTGATCCTCAGCACCACATAATTAATAAATAAGTAAGTTAAAAAAAAAAAGAATTTAGGGGGAATGCCAGGGAGTGAGTGATACTGGCCAAATTATATTGTTATATTGTGTACACGTACGAATATGTAACACAAATTCCATCATTATGTATAATTATAATGCACCAATAAAAATGTAGAAAAAAAGAAAGTAAGAATTTAATTTAATTACATAATTGATAACTAATGCTAAGGGAGGAGTTATCAGCATGAAGTAGTCAGTGCTAAAGCATATTTGACACCTCATCTCAGACCATTTCTTCCTACTACACTATACTCTAATCATGCTAGCCTTCATGTTGTTTCTCAAATATACCAAAGTTGGTCCTACCTTAAAATTCTGCACACTCACTATTTGCTTTCTCTCTGATCCTCTGATCCTGGCCCCTTTGTTTCATGTAAAACTCTACTGAAGTAACTTTTAAATAAATAACTCATCTAAAGCATTTGCCCTGCTCTCCAACACAATGTCACATCTTTCTGTTTTAATTTTTATAGCACTTATGTACTATCTGAAGCTATTTATTTTACTAGTTGATTATATTTTTCAAACTTCATGACTCCATGAGAACAGGGAATTTGCTGACTTCATAATTGCTGCATTCCCAGTGCCTAGCAAAAAACAGACACTCGACACATACTGAATGAAGGCATAAACAAGGGGCATCTAGAATTTATGTCAGTCATAGGCTGAGTAACCATCAAAAGAGAGAAGGAAGAAAATAGTATGAGAAATACACTTTTATAATCACCTGCAAAATGTTCGAATATAATCCTGGTTAATTCTGATGAAACCAGCACACTGTTGGAAGGATTTTGGACCCAGCCCTTTCACTTTCTTCAGCTGTTCTCGGTTGATAAAGGGTCCATTTTTCTCTCGCCATTCAATAATATTTTTGGCTCTGTTGGCATTGAGTCCTGCAATGTGCCTAAAAAAAAAATAAGTAGACAAAATGAATAAACTGGGAAAAAGCTGTCATCTAAAAAGATAATGATATAAAACATCTGGTCATAAAATCAATTGCAATTATATATTATATGACAAAAGTTAATACAAAAGGGCATTAAATCAAAAGGGCAAACAGGAAATAAGGACAACAGAATGCAAAAATAATGACAAAACCAGACGCTGTCAAAGAGGCTGGTAAGTGGTCAACACTGATATAAGGGAAAAAAAATTCTTTATAATAATTCTCAAATTCATCGTATTTCTGAATCAACAGAAAATTCTATTTCTATTTAGCTTAAAAAGACAGTCAGCAGTAGAAGTTTCAATAGCTATGATTATGTTGTACCATCCTTTTGTGGTGGTGGTGAGGATCTGTCTGTTTTCATTAAAGAGAACCACAGAAGGATACTTATCCATGAATGTTGACATTAGAATGAGAACAATTTCATTAGGTAGTTTGCTTGGTGTCAACTAAAACATTATTATTTCAGAGAATCTCAATTTTATTATGGAATTCCATATTTGGAATTATGTAATGTTTGTAGCCATGGCAGACAAGCAATACCCTTAAAACGTGAAGGATATTTTCCACTGTACCAGTTTCAGTAAAAAAGGTCTAGATCAGGGAATTTCATACTGCAATAGCATACTGTGCAATAAATACAAGACTACAAACAGAAAAAGCAGCTCTTCTGCAACCACAGTTAAAAAAAAGGACAGTATGTAAGATAAATCAGTATGATGGAAATTTTGTTAGGTAACATGTGGAATCAGGGTAAAAATATGGTGACCAGACGTTGGAATTTCAGAATTTTATCTTTTGGTTGATGCCAACTATGATCGATGCATGCAAGAGAATGAACTAGTGAAAAATACCTACACTCATGTGGGAAACAGCTCTTTTCCATGTTAACTTTATTTAAATTCTATTAGTGACACTAATGTACTCAATGGTTGCCATATGCTTTTCACTTTAAATTTGCAATATTAAAAATGATAATGTGAATTGTTATAATTCTTTCCTTAAATGACATCTTTCTCTCTGATTATCTAAAGCAATGTATAATCCATAGATTTTCTACACTTGACAACTTTACACATGTCTCTTGTTCTGCTGGAGTTTGGACTAGATAGCCAATTATATTCAAGATTCTATGATCTTCAGTTACAGATTTCTGTCTCACCTTAGCAAAACTTCTGAACAGATGTTAATATCCACTCCCACAAAGCTGACACATTCTTCTACAACACTATCCAGTGTGGCCTTGAGTAATGTCTGAGATACATCATGCTGAGAAGACAAAATCAAATATCAATCAAAAGCAAAGGAGATGCAGCTCTTGGACTATTCTGTTATTCTGCCTATACTCCTGGTAGCTATCTAACACAAGTCACAGAGAATTTCTTCATTCCTCTTAAATACACCTAACAGATTTAACAGACCTGAACTTATTGAATCTGTATGTTCTGATACACTAAGAATCATACAAATGATTTAAACATAAGAATACCAATATTTTTTCTTTATCTGAAATTCTGCCTAGAGTAGTCATTCTCAAACCGTAGCCTGCATCAAAATCACTTGTAGGGATTGTTAAAATAGAAATTTTTTATACTCAGTGTCCCATTCTTCTGGATCATTCCTTTACTCAAAGACATAGGTGTCAAAGTTTTCTACTCAGTATAGTTATGCTCTCAAGACTCTTGGTAATGCAGCATTTCCAAACAGAGCCATCCTCTATTATCTCTGAGATTTTCTTTTAAGCTTTAGATGGTCATTCTTGGAAGCTTTGATGATAGTACCCTATCTTAATCTTAACAGAAGATATCAACAGAAGAGATTTTGGAATACTTCAAAACTCCTATTTATTCCTTAAATGGTTACTGTTCAATGGCTTGGTAACTAAAACAGTGAAGGGCCTGCAGTTCAGTCATGTCTCTAGGGTTAACAACCAAGGAAATGAAGACACAATACCATAATTACCCACAGGGCCAACAGTAATCATAGGGCACCATTTATTTTAATATGCTTCCTGATTTCAGAGTGTTAAAAGGTGAGAAAATATGCATCTTACAATTGAAGAAATGCACTATTGCTTGGCTACACAAACCTGTTACTACAATTAATACACTTGATGTTATCGAAAATTCTAATTTTCTGATTGTTCTCCTGGTTATGAACTGTAGGTCAACATATTTCTCCAAATGTCTTAAGGAAGTATGAAAAACAATATAGTATAGTTCCCACATATCACAATTACATTTACCATTTAATAACAGAAGTTTATGCTCCAGAAGACTGAGAATGCAGAAGTGCTTCTGTATTTAAGAGGTAACCTTGTAACTATCCAGGCCAGAGCTAAAATTTTTGGATATAATTTTAAAATGTAATAAGCAAACATCATGATGAAAAAGAATAGAATGAACCTCATTCTGAGACTTCATTACTACTGAGCCATACCTTTTAAGAAGCTACACAGTGAACTGGAGATATAGCTCAGTGATAAGAGAGTTTGCCTAGCAAGCATGCATGAGCCCTGGGCTCTATCCCTAATACAAAAAAAAAAAAAAAAACAAAAAAAACACAAACCTACATAGTCTTTTCCTTGTCTAAAAAGAGAGATAAAAAGGTAGATTAACTATTTAAGTCAGTTTTTGCAGTTATTGGAACCAAAAGACCTGACAAGAACAATATAGAAGAGGAAAAGCTTATTTGGGCTCAAAATTTCAGAGGTCTCAGTTCAAAGATGGCCAACTCCATTGCTCTGGGCCAGAAATGAGGCAGAACATGGCAGAAGGGTGTGGCAGAGGGAAGCAACTCAGGAAACAGACAAAGCCAGCTCTGCTCATAAGAGACAATATATAAACCCCAATGGCATGCCCCCAGTGACCTACATCTTTCAGTCACACCGACCTGTTTACAGTTATTGCCAAGTTAATCCGTATCAGTGGATTAATGCACTGATAAGTTTAAGGCTCTCATTGTCCAATCATTTCACCTCTGAAAATTCTTGCATTTTCTCACACATGAATTTTTTGGGGACACCACACACCCAAACCATAACAGGAGTCATTAGAATAAGGGCAAATAATTATATAATTTGAAGCATACCAGATGATTAGGATAGCTAAATGAGTAAGCTATGGTTCCTGATGAAGACTTGTTGGTTGCCTCTGGCTTTCAACCCCCTTTTCCTCTTTCCAAACAGAAGTCTTACTGTATTCATATACCTAATCAACCTCTATAAGACCATATGCTCTGGGGAAGCTGCCCTGCCCCTATATTCTAGCATATGATAGTGACTGGTTCAAATCACTGGTTTTCAAACTGAGGGTTGGACCAATCATTGGATCATAAAATTAATTTACTGATATGCCAATAGCATAAAAAAATCAAGAAAAAAAATAGACAACATAGAGTATGTTGTACATATTCCTAATGTGTGGAATAAGAGTATAATGGATAAAATGGCCAACTGAGATTATCATGTGAGAGGAGGAAAACATAAATCGGCCAGGTATTTGGTTCATGGACATTTCCTTTGATTTTCTCTCATATTATAATCAATTTGCTTCACTGTCTGAGGAAGTGGTTAAATAACATTACAGAGTTATGGAGCAAAGTATATGAAAAGTATATTAACTGTTGGCAAAATACTAATTTGTTTTTCTGAATAAATGATATTTCATTTATTTATTTTATTTTTTTTTTAAATTTTTTATTGTTGGCTGTTCAAAACATTACATAGTTCTTGATATATCATATTTCATCCTTTGATTCAAGTGGGTTATGAGCTCCCATTTTTACCCCATATACAGATTGCAGAATCACATCAGATACACATCCATTGATTTACATATTGCCATACTAGTGTCTGTTGTGTTCTGCTGCCTTTCCTATCCTCTACGATCCCCCCTCCCCTCCCCTCCCCTCCCCTCTTCTCTCTCTGCCCCCTCTACTGACATTCATTTGTCCCCCTTGTATTATTTTTCCCTTTCCCCTCACTTCCTCTTGTATGTACTTTTGTATAACTCTGAGGGTCTCCTTCCATTTCCATGCAATTTCCCTTCTCTCTCCTTTTCCCTCCCACCTCTCATCCCTGTTTAATGTTAATCTTCTTCTCATGCTATTCGACCCTACTCTGTTCTTAGTTACTCTCCTTATATCAAAGAAGACATTTGGCATTTGTTTTTTAGGGATTGGCTAGCTTCACTTAGCATAATCTGCTCTAATGCCATCCATTTCCCTGCAAATTCTATGATTTTGTCATTTTTTAATGCAGAGTAATACTCCATTGTGTATAAATGCCACATTTTTTTTATCCATTCATCCATTGAAGGGCATCTAGGTTGGTTCCACAGTCTTGCTATTGTGAATTGTGCTGCTATGAACATCAATGTAGCAGTGTCCCTGTAGCATGCTCTTTTTAGGTCTTTAGGGAATAGACCGAGAAGGGGAAGAGCTGGGTCAAATGGTGGCTCCATTCCCAGCTTTCCAAGAAATCTCCATACTGCTTTCCAAATTGGCTGCACCAATTTGCAGTCCCACCAGCAATGTACAAGTGTACCCTTTTCCCCACATCCTCGCCAGCACTTGTTGTTGTTTGACTTCATAATGGCTGCCAATCTTACTGGAGTGAGATGGTATCTTAGGGTGGTTTTGATTTGCATTTCTCTGACTGCTAGAGATGGTGAGCATTTTTTCATGTACTTGTTGATTGATTGTATGTCCTCCTCTGAGAAGTGTCTGTTCAGGTCCTTGGCCCATTTGTTGATTGGGTTGTTTGTTCTCTTATTGTCTAATTTTTTGAGTTCTTTGTATACTCTAGATATTAGGGCTCTATCTGAAGTGTGAGGAGTAAAGATTTGTTCCCAGGATGTAGGCTCTCTATTTAACTCTCTTATTGTTTCTTTTGCTGAGAAAAAACTTTTTAGTTTGAGTAAGTCCAATTTGTTGATTCTAGTTATTAACTCTTGTGCTATGGGTGTCCTACTGAGGAATTTGGAGCCCGACCCCACAGTATGTAGATCGTAGCCAACTTTTTCTTCTATCAGACGGCATGTCTCTGATTTGATATCAAGCTCCTTGATCCATTTTGAATTAAATTTTGTGCATGGCGAGAGAAAGGGATTCAGTTTCATTTTGTTGCATATGGATTTCCAGTTTTCCCAGCACCATTTGTTGAAGATGCTATCCTTCCTCCATTGCATGCTTTCAGCCCCTTTATCAAATATAAGATAGTTGTAGTTTTGTGGATTGGTTTCTGTGTCCTCTATTCTGTACCATTGGTCCACCCGCCTGTTTTGGTACCAGTACCATGCTGTTTTTGTTACTATTGCTCTGTAGTATAGTTTGAAGTCTGGTATCGCTATACCGCCTGATTCACACTTCCTGCTTAGCATTGTTTTTGCTATTCTGGGTCTTTTGTTTTTCCATATGAATTTCATGATTGCTTTCTCTATTTCTACAAGAAATGCCGTTGGGATTTTGATTGGCATTGCATTAAACCTATAGAGAACTTTTGGTAATATCGCCATTTTGATGATGTTAGTTCTGCCTATCCATGAACAGGGTATATTTTTCCATCTTCTAAGATCTTCTTCTATTTCTCTCTTTAGGGTTCTGTAGTTTTCATTGTATAAGTCTTTCACCTCTTTTGTTAGGTTGATTCCCAAGTATTTTATTTTTTTTGAAGATATTGTGAATGGAGTGGTTGTCCTCATTTCCATTTCAGAGGATTTGTCGCTGATATACAGGAATGCCTTTGATTTATGCTTGTTGATTTTATATCCTGCCACTTTCCTGAATTCATTTATTAGCTCTAATAGTTTCTTTGTAGACCCTTTTCGGTCTGCTAGGTATAGAATCATGTCATCTGCAAATAGTGATAATTTAAGTTCTTCTTTTCCTATTTTGATGCCTTTAATTTCTTTCGTCTGTCTAATTGCTCTGGCCAGTGTTTCGAGAACTATGTTGAACAGAAGTGGTGAGAGAGGGCATCCCTGTCTTGTTCCAGATTTTAGAGGGAATGCCTTCAATTTTTCTCCATTCAGAATGATGCTAGCCTGAGGCTTAGCATAGATTGCTTTTACAATATTGAGGTATGTTCCTGTTATCCCTAGTTTTTCTAGAGTTTTGAACATAAAGGGATGCTGTACTTTGTCGAATGCTTTTTCCGCATCTATCGAGATGATCATATGATTCTTATTTTTAAGTCTATTGATGTGGTGAATAACATTTATTGATTTCCGTATATTGAACCAGCCTTGCATCCCAGGGATGAATCCTAC